CTACCTAGTCAACAAATCTTTCTTATTTTGGTCATTTAGTTTACATAATCGCATACACACGGGTGGGAGAGAGAGTAAAAGACATCGCGAATCTATTAGTCTCTAACTTGATCTTGTTTGATCTTTTATTATCTTCCAACAAAAAACTCTCTTATTTTGGTCATTTAGTTTACATAATCGCGAAATGGCTACACATACATAGCGAATCCATAGAATTATGTGATTGATATATGTACTTGAAATTGATTGATTAGTGAGATATAATGCTTATACATCCGAGCAGATTGTTAAAACCATTTTTCAGCTTTTGGTATATAAAATTCACATGTTTTTTTTTTTAAAAAAAGCTTATACATATATACAAATACACATTTATGTGATTTTTTGTAAGCACGTATGTATCTTGTTAGTCGATGAAATAGCGGTATTTTGTGTACTCCTAGTCCTTAATAAAATTGAGTTTGTTAAAACAAAAACATAAATTATTAATATACCTCCAACGAGCAGACGACGAAGGAAGCCAGACAACGGAAAGCTCTTCGTGATTGATGGACCGTATCGAGTTATTGGAGCTACGGCTAGACAAGAGTTGGTCGTGTGTTCTAAGAACCACTCTTGCAGCTTCTGGTGAAGATATGACCACTGAGTTTAAGAATCCAAGCTTAAGACTCATGACTGGTCCATAAGTTTTTGAGAGGTCGGCGAATGAGCGGTGTGGGTTCATTCCGACAAGGTGCATGTTTCCGATGATGGGTAGCCGCGGAGGTCCTGGAGGCGTCACGGTGGCACCAAGAGATCTCCGCCTGGATCTTGTGGTGGAGATGATAAGGAAACATGATAAGATAAAGCAAACGAACAGGAAAAGAGCTTGTCCTACCATGATGTCCATATTTTTCTCAACTGATCTTTTCCTTGTTGAAATTAAATACCAAGCTTCAAGTCATTTAAATATATTAGTGTAAAAAGCAAATATTACCAAAAGTATCTTAACAAAAATATCTAATATAGTCCAAATCCTTTGTCCGGTGATGGGAACTGAATTGGCACAAGTGAAAGGCCTTTGTCAAGAAAAGTCAAACGACCAAAGACTAAATCACGTGAGATACCTATACGTGAATTGTAAAATGTTCTTTTCTCATGCTTACTCTAATTGATTCTAGTGCTTATGTGTAGTCATTACGCAGTTAGTACGTCTGAAGTACATAATTGTCACTAAAGTTAGAACCAGGGCCGGTCCTGAAAATTTTGGGACTCAAGCAAAATAAAAATAAAAATAAAAATATTGGATTTTTAATTTATTTTCTAAAATTCAAAAAAAATGTTGAAAAAACTGAGACTTCTTTTTGCAAGAAGAAATAAAACGGGGTTTTTTGGTTAATAATGATAAATTAGTATTTTTTTTGGCCCAAAGTCCATGCGTCATTTGCCTATGCTCAGACTCGGCTCTGGTTAGAACCATGTGTTTAAACGGAAATGTAGAACAAAATGTATGTACGAAAAAGATACTATAGAAAATGTACGTACATTATAATTGGAAAATATATAATGAAAATGTATTATCAAAAAGATGCAAGATGCAATCCTCAGATGTAAGGAATGCTATTATTAGTAGATAAGGTTTTATTTTATTTAAATAATGTCATTAATTATTTGGTTTGTGAAATTATATTCGTACTTATAATTAAACATATCCGACAATGGCTAATTAATGGCGCATCTTTTGACGGGAACGGCATGTAACGGGTTGGTCTTGTGCAATGAGAGACCGAAAGTCTCGTCCATGTCTAAATCCTCCGGAACGACGCCGTTTGGAAGCTTCCAATCAAAAGAATAGAGAAGAGAAGCTAGCACAAGGGGTATTGTCTTCAAAGCCAAAGGCATTCCCGGGCATATTCTGCGTCCGGCTCCAAACGGTGTAAGCTCATAATCTCTACCTTTCACATCAATCTCTTTCCCTACAAACCTCTCTGGCTCAAACCGCATCGGATTCTCCCACACGTTCGGATCTCGTCCAATGGCCCACACGTTCACAAGAACCTGAGTGTCTTTAGGCACAAGGAATCCAAGAACCTCCACGTCAGCTTCTGCTTTGTGTGGGACTAGAAGTGGACCAGGCGTATGTAACCGCAAAGTTTCTTTCACGACCGCTTGTAGATACAGCATTTCCGAGATATCAGACTCTTCAACAACACCTTTTTGACCAATCACGCTATGGATCTCGGCTTTAACTTTTGTCATTGTTTCAGGGTTCCGAAGTAACTCTGACATTGCCCATTCCACGGTACCAGAGTTTGTGTCTGTGCCCGCAACAAACAGGTCCTGTACATATGATCCATTATCGTTAATAACTTGGTTATGTACGTATTAAATGTTAATTCATATGATTCTAATATCTATAATATGGTAAGCCTTACATAGAGAAGGTGTTCCATATCGTTAGTGTTGAGCTCTGCTTTATCTCCTTGGCTGAGATCAATAAGCGTATCCACGAAATCGCTGTTCGCGGCATCTTTAAGGTTATTCATTGCCTTTTCCGCTGTTTTAGCATCGATGAACCCTCGGAAAACCTTAAACAACCTCTCCGAACAGAGCTTCATCTTCTTCTTATTACCATGCACATCAAGAAACCTGAGAAACGGGAAGTAGTTAGAAAGATCTGGGTTCCCGATAGCTTCCATGACACCAATCACCGAGTCCTGAAATCCGTTAGACTTTTTGGTATCGTAGCTACCGAGATCTACGGAAAACAGAATGTTCGATAAGATATTAACAGCTGTGATGAAGGATGAACGAGAAATATCAACAGCTTCTTCTCTTTCGCTGCTTTCATTCATGAAATTCACAAGCTCTTGCACCTTCTTCATTCGGAGGGCTTTAGTGGCTTCGATACGCTGCGGAGAGAACAGCTGAGTCGCCGACAACTTTCTCAACATCCTGAAACAAAGCACAACAACAACGAATCGCATTTTATAGAGCGCTTATTGTTTTTGATTCATTAGTCAACGTTGTGGAATCGCATCAAATGAGACCAAAAAATGCTAAATAACTAAACATAAACTATCTCATTAGGTCAGTCGAAATATGTCATTTTAGATCTATTAGAGAATAGCTAGTGAGTAGACTATATGATGATTACACTCGTCGTAGAAAATTAGTGGGATGGTAAAACAAAAGATAAATAGAACAAAATAAACATATATAAAATCGGTATTTAAATATACCTCCAACGTGTCGAAGATGGAGGAAGCCAGACAACAGAAACGTCATGGTGATTGATGGACCGTATAGTGTTAGGGAAGCTACGGCCAGACAAGATTTGATCGTGTGTTCTTAAAACCTCTCTTGCAGCTTCCGGTGAAGTTATGACAGCTACATTTAGACTTCCAAGCTTAAGACTCATGATCTGTCCATAAGTTTTCGAGAGACTGGCGAATGATTGGTGCGGTTTTTTGCCGACAAGGTGAATATTTCCGATGATGGGTAGCCGCGGAGGTCCCGGCGCAAATTTCCGTCTGGATCTTTTGGAG